GTCGACGATAATGGCGCCGTTACGTTTAGCACTACGTTATTTGCGCTAATACGGACGTCTTTGAATATCAAACTAAAAGGAAACATGAACGCAAACGATACGGAACTCAGAAATCTTATGAAGAGACTGTGGCCTAACGCTACGGGGAAAAACGTCTTGGATAAACTAATACCCAAGCAGTCAGGTAAGTCCGTTATGATGATGTTACGTAGACACCTGCGTTCGCGTTAGTCTTACGTTCAGTAATCCGTGAATATATTTTTCGGGAAAATATTGGACAAACTAATAGCAAAACAGTCAGATAACTCAGTTATAATGCCGTTACTGCACTTACGTCTGCGTTAGTCTTTAATTTATCCCCAAATATTTAACACACGACATTTACGTCATTTACGTAAATGACTTTCGTTTCCGCCGGCTTGATTTGTCGCTGCTACTAAACTCGCATCCTCCGTATAACTTTCTTGATTTCTCACTTCCTGGTCTTCCTGATTTACCTTGCTATTCCTCAATCCCCCTCTCCGCTTCCTCATTATGGCACAGGGAACCCACAAGTTGACTCTGCACAAGTCATTATTTTGCATATTTAATGATATTATTTTTTGCTGTAGTTCTTAGTAGTCAACAGATGACCATTGGTAAAATCTACTGTGCAAAACTTATTCACGAGAATTATAAATACAGCAAAAGTAAAGCACAAGGAGGAATTGAGGTACGTTTAATAATTATATTTGGCAATATTATTTCCATGTTATATGTATTTCTATGTGTATATATGATATCAAAGAGGCAAGATTTTGCTGTAACTCCGAGTTTCGTGCTACGCACTCATCAGACAGTATTTAATGGGATCAGCCACTTCCTCATACGATTATTTCTATGTGTACATATGTAATGTGTACAGTTCATCGTGAGTTGCATGCTGGTCCCTCGAAATAGGTCATTCCAATCTACCCCAGTCATTGTGAATGGGGAAAAAGGGAAACAACTTCAGAAAAGATCAGCCTAAAATTAGTAAATTTGGAAATCCATCGAAACGTCAAAAACATGAAGCTCCTCAAAAAGCCGGGCTGATTTCAGTGCGGCGGAGAGGTAACCACATTAAAGATTTTGTCAGAGGTCGTTATATGTTTTTTAGTACCCGATTTGTTTAGAATAACTAACTTGTTTATCCGTGAAATTTTTCAGAACACGTGCTGCCAGCAATAAAGTTTGTGATGACCTAAGCGTTTATTTACTAGTGTTTTTCACTTTCTTTAGCGGGGATTTCTGAGAAAACTCGTGGCTGGCTCTATGCGGGGTTATCACGATGACAATGCGCAAGGAGACAAAGTCGGCTACAACCCAGGCCCKCTCAGACCAAGAAGTAGAACCCTGGACGACCCCCATGGTAACCCTGGTCATTACTCAAGGTGAGTGCTAAACACCACAGGAAACCCAAACTAGAYTCTACTGTTCGTATCGGAGTCGCTCAACCCTTCACAGGTCCTCCACGGTAATGAGGCTGGGAGATGAGAGCTAGAAAAGAAAGTCAACTCGTTTCCAATCAGTTTTACGGTTTTTTTGATACTTCTACCACGTGATTTTTAATTGTTTTAGAGCACCGTCTGATGTCTCGTCAAATCACCATGAATATCATCCAAATTCAGTTTCCCGGTCGCAAAGTTGGAGCTCAAAAGCCAATGGAGATCTTGAAATGATCGAACTTAAGGTAATACAGTGGACTTTAGCAATTACATCAGTTGAAGAGTTTAAACGACTTAAACAATAACGGATTTATAATCTAATTTTTGTCTTTCCTAAACTTTTCATTTCATTCCATTAATGATGTTATAACTTGCTTTATATGCAACAGCCAGTACCAACAAAAAAGTCACGGAATGGCAAGCCAAGGAYATCGGATGAAGGATCAAATAAACCGATTRTACCGTTGCAATATCTAACCGTCTCGCCTAAAATTGATAGAAAGGGTAGAAATAACAGCTATAGTATCGCCGTAGGTATGATRTTAAACCATTATAAACCTTTTTCAAATGATAATATTTTAAATTTAATATTATTTAAAAAAATGTAAATTTTACACTTATTGGCGCATTGACGCCATTTTGTACACCAATGCAYGACGGGTAATGTAGTCCCTACTCAWGTTTACGTCCGCTAAAAAACTTATAATCATTAAATTCCGGCAGAGAAGTAACTAACATTAAAGTTGTGTGAGAACGTTTTCRGGAACGTTTTTCATTGTTTTACGACTTATATATCATTGTATGTCAAATACCTGATCCTTTAACTTCTGACTTCTGACTTTAACATAACACAAGTAACAAACGAAAATCAATTGTAAACTTGATGCAAAGTATAATCAGATAAAAAAAAATTAACACCATAAAAATTTAAACCCTAAATTTTTTTATATTGTCCAGGACTCTCCAACTCTCTTGGTAGAGAGGTACTGGTACAAATTCTCACATTTCCAAATGTTCTCTCAATAGATTTAAACCCACGTGATCAAGACAGTGAAAGAGAAGCCAGTCCTAAAAAGGGACAACCGGAAGTGTCAGAAATTCGAAGACTTTCCCGTGACTCTAAGTATTATGACGACATGATATCCCGTATCAATGAACAACTGACTCATGCCGTGGAAAGCGGTCAAAGTCCATATGCCATATATGGCATGAGCGAAAATGACGAAAACGAATGGTGCTGACGTGTCGCGATTCAATTCGTTAAAACCGAAGGGAAGAAAATCTCGGAATATGGCGGTGGTGGATCGTACAAACTTGTTGAAGAGACGATTATGAGACATTGCGCTCTTGATCTACAATTGCAAAAGTAACAAGTAATATATTCGAAGATATTGAGAAAATGGAACCGTCCTGACACAGGATACCGCTGATTTAAATAGTCACGGACGACAGTATGTCATAGTCACGTGCAAAAGGACATGAGTGACGTCACGTGTAACGTCACGGCCTCGTTTAGGTGCCGCTTCTAAAGCTTCCTATATATTTTATAAATGTGCAGAAAGCGATTAACTCCTGAAAGGGTTATAGAGATTATTATATAACAGAATGGGAGCCTCCATTAAAACGGGGCCATTCGATATTCTATATAAATTATAAATGCCATTAAAGTGGTATTTAATTTATTAATTTTGATATATTCATTCCGTATAGATAGTCATCCAAAATGGACTGCAGACACGAAATCTGTTAAATACAATTACTATTTGGTACAAAGGATTACTCGTTTAATTTATGAGTTACCTTCCATTGGGGTCTGCGTTTTCCCTTGCGTTTTTATGCTGTCTTTTACGGAAAATTATACAGATGCGCTTTACGAGAGAACGCAGTTACGTACGTTGCCTGGCCGGGTTTTGGCTTTGTCCACACTGACTCAACACTTTTGCATTTTTCTTGTTACTATTTATTCTCTTGAGGACTAATTTGTGGGTTTAAAAAAAGCTTTCAATCGATTTTATAGATGACGTAACGGCGGCCTAAAGCCCGCTTTTCAGTAATATTTTTGTTTTCTTGTTTCACTTCATTTTCTTTCTTTTTAGTAACGCATTCGCTTCTAAATGGATAACAACTTTTAACAGTTATAAATACAATTATATTACCAACAGTCTCCAAAGTAAGATAGAAACAACATTGCCAAAAGAGAAGCCTGGTTTCCACTAGCAAAGTGGAGAAGGCCGGATGGAGAGGGGAGGTGCTTACGCGACCCTTAATTACTTCCTTCTAATACCTTGCCGCTCCCCCTCCGTATATTGATTTACATAGACTCGCGAAAGAGGCTCCTCCGCCTGCCTACTAGGATTATACGCGTATGCAATGTGACCAGCAAACTTACACTTAAACATAAACGGAAGTAATCGTGCTTCCACGAATTAGCTAACCATCACGTGACCAACAGCTATACAGAGTCAGCAAGAACTGAAAAATATCCCTTAAACAAAACTATTGACCATACAGAGCCCGCAAGCGCTGAAGAATATCCATTCAATAATCTATAAAGGTATAGTAAGGTGTATAGAACAATTTTTTTCTTTGTATTATGTACTGAATATCTGTAAGTTGAATATAGGCTTATGGCAGATCATGACGACTGAATTTATCAACCATGAATTCTTTATAAAGTGAGGTTTACTGAGAAAAACCTCTCGAAAGAAATGAAATTATTTGTGAGTGTAACATTCTAGTAGCTACATTTGGGGCCTATGCGAATAGGCTGAGCAATGTAGATTTTAATTTTGTTACAGCCGATTGTTTATTATTATTCTGATATTAGTTCTGTCCTGTTCACCAGTCCGTCTTAGATAGTTACAGCGCTTAAAATCCTAAAACAAGTTGTTTAATCTTAATTTGAAAGAAAACAGGACAAATACGAACGTTTTGAAACGGTACAAGGTGTAAATATTCAGGATAGATTACTATACTGAATGAGTATTACTTAACTTGGAGCTTCCTTTTGATGCTATAATTGGTTCGCTTCGACAGTTTAACGGTGTCTGATCATGTGATATTTTACGTATTTGCGTCATTTTACAGGCGAACCCGCCGTGACTACCGTGACTATGAATTTGAATGCATATTTAGCACAGGAGGAGCCGACGGGGTCTGTTCAGATTCTAAATAACTGTTCTTGTACGAATATTTTCCTGGGAAGAGGATTTTAAGCTACATTGTTAACAATCTTACAATCAAATGTGGCGCCCTTCCTTCTTTAAAATGATTTTGTTCCTGACAAACGTTTTCAAGGTCATGATATAACGTTTTTATGGTCAAAAATGGCTTTTTTTTCGTTAGGAAATTTATATTTTCCTGGCAAAAATTCTTAGAAAGTATTCCTCGCCTGGATAGTTCTTTTTTCATGAATTTCTTGCTGGCAACTAGTTGTGACTTACAGCTGGCTGGGACATGTAAGAACAGATATATTTCTCACAGGAACCCGTTGGCTCCTATTAGCACCATTTGGTTAGTACCTTTTCACGCTTTTAGTGTAAACAAGTTATTTTTTATTTATTTATTTTTTTTGACTAGTTGATCATGTCCGATTCGTCACATGCAAGATTTCTTGAGGACCAAGTTACATGTGCCATCTGCCATGAGCACTTTAGAGACCCACGACTGTTGCCATGTGGCCATACCTACTGTAAGCAGTGCTTGGACGATCTTTTCAGGGTATCGCGTATTGAAGGGCAGATTACATGTCCTGAATGCAGAGAAGTGGTAAAGGTATTAGCTATCTTCTTTCATTATTTAGTTTAGCTAACATTTTCAATACAAGATACTTTTAAACGTCACATGAGTTATCCCTCGTGGTCAAGTTGGTAAAGCGCCCACGAGGGATAACTTTGTGACGAGAAGAGGGAAGAGTTTATGACCATGTAATATTCTGTTTATCATATTTAAGAAATATAAAAGCAAATTATGTCGTAAAATACCTTTTTTCTTACTTCCTCAATATAAAGAAACCTCGAATGTATTTTCACTAGTGAAAATATCAATAATTTACGAAATGGAGAAATATAGGTGTTTCATATATGATAAACATATTTATTATTTTTAGCTTGGACCGAATGGAACAGAGCAACTGAGAGTTGATTTCAAGATGAATCAAATAATGTCCCACTTAACTATATCTTCATTTGAAAAAGAAGCGAAGGAATGCGATTTGCCATGTGAAAATTGTGCAAGTAGAGATCCATCAAAAGGAAGATGCCAAAATTGTTGCAAGTTCATGTGTGATTTTTGTTTGGAAGCCCACCGTCGTATTCTAGACACACGTGAACATAAAATTATGACGCTTGGAGAATTCAGGGAAACATTTGGAAGACATATCAGTAAACACGAACCAAAGTCACTTAATGTAATAGGCAAAGGAGAACAGAAAAAGATAGAGATTGAGACAGAGAGCAATAACAATTTAAAAAAATTGAATGAGAAAATTTCACTTCTCACAATAAATGAACAAAGTTCCCAAAATCAAAAGAATACCGAACTTGCAGAAGAGATATTGATGAATGATGATCAAAATTTCAAGGTTAAAAGTTGCAATAGTTCCAATAAATTCACAAAAGATAGCAACATGGTTTGCGTCAACATTTTGTCGACATGTAACACTAGTAGCTTGCAGATATCAGTAAATTCGACTGATCTGGATGGTGCACGTCANTCCGTATAGATAGTCATCCAAAATGGACTGCAGACAACAAATCTGTTAAATACAATTACTATTTGGTACAAAGGAGTACTCGTTTAATTTATGAGTTACCTTCCATTGGGGTCTGCGTTTTTTCTTGCGTTTCTATACTGTATTTTACGGCAAGTTATACGGATACGCCATGCGAAATCGCACTTACGTTGACTCGTTTGCGCGGATGCATTTTTTCATGAATTTTTCATTCTCAAGGACTAATCCCATAAATCAACGTCTTCTGGCCTACTTTGAATTATTTATTTACATGCAGGTTGGCTTGTGTGAAAAATATTAACAAAGACTTTGTGTGGGGTTCTAGTTCAATTGTTTTGTTAAATTCTAATTGTTTTTACTCCATAGTTGGGTGCTGCTTCGGCTTCTTTTGTTATAGAAGAATATTATTCCTCCTATTTTTAATCCCTTTATGCCATTTTTACATGAGATAGGGTGCTGAGCTATACCTTCCTATTTACTTTACTACAGTTAATAATCAAGACTTTTGGCAATCCTCTATCCCTTGAAATTTTACCAGTCTTTGTAATCAGCTAGTTCAGCCAAGTTTATTTTTAACTTCTTTGGATTCTTGTCGACAAAGGTAGCATAGAAGAATGCCTTCTTGCTTGTGAACTGGGACCCTAAAGTTTTGTCCCCGCCGAGAACACCACATTCCATAATGATGTGAAACACTTCTGGACTCTGTATCTCGCCATCAAGGCTTGTAGTCTGATCGTAAAGGGTTAGCATTTGAAGTGGATGGCTATTGAGATGGCCAGTTTGTATCTTGACGATAAATCTCCTTCTGCTCTTGAAATCTGGCTTGATTCCTTGCCCGATGCCTTTGAGATGAGGGCCAAACGTCCGAGTACTAATGCAATTCTTTCTATCCTCAAAGGGCTTAAAATCAACAATAACGAAATATTTCTTGGACAGCGAAGAGCACAACATCTGGTGTTTTCCCCAGTGATTTTCTTGGCATGTTGTGCTGCAATACGAAGCCATGTTACATCTGGAACACTGTAAGAGCTTTCCTATATTGCGGCAAAATGTACACTCGTTCTTTATTACTTCCATTTTTTCTTGAGGATGAAACATTCTTTCTTTGTTGTTTTGTAATACATTAGCTTCGACGACTGGAGGATTTGAATAATACCTAGTTTCACCTTCTGGCAAAAACAAAGTTGGGTCTTTTTTGCGAATGGTTTGAAACTTTTCGTTCATCTCTGGGACATGAACCAACCAAAGACCACTGTGATCCCTAATAGTGTTTGATTTGATGATGACACGTCCTGAAAAGTTAACTCCCATGTGAATGCCCCCACATTTGTTAGCATAAATATCATTGTTTTCTATAGAAGCCGTTGTCTGAGTCTTTGCGTGAATTCCATGAAATCCATTCTCAAAAATGTCATTTTGTTTTATTCCCACCAAACATCTGTCCAATGAAAGTCCAAATTGAAGATTATGATAAATCCGATTTTTCATAATATTAACCTCATTTTTCTTGGATATTAAGACAAAAACACCTTCTTTTCTGTTTTCGTAAATTCTGTTTTGGATGATTTCGGAAGCGCCGGCCTTGGGACCTATCATTATTCCATGTGTTCCATTAGAATAAATGTCGTTGTCAATAGCTTCCAAGCAGCCACCCTCTCTGGCTTCAAGCCCCGATTGGTGATTATGGTGTACTTTACATCCTTTGACGTAAAGTTTGGAACCTTCGCCATGACTAAGAATTCCTCCTCCTCCACATCCTTCAATATCGCAATTTTCAAAGTAACCGGTGCATTGATGTAAAACCTGGATTCCTGGGTAGCCACTGACTCCAGAATTTTTTTCTTCTCCAAAATGACCTGATCGATTACAAGGTTCAAGCCCGTTCAGCGCTGCTATACATCCATCGCCTCCATTACATTCTGGATAATCCTCGCAGCTTCTCATACCATTTGAGATATGACACATGAGCATAGTCACTGAACCACCAAGCTGACATATTACACCTTCACTTTCCCGGGGAAATGTTATGCCTTCAGCGTAAAGATGTGATCCAAATATCATAACTGGCTGCCCAAAACTTATAGTAGTTGGACCATCAATTGCAACAAACTGGACGTTTTTGTCAATTACTGCTCCCTGTAACTCATAGTTACCATCATGGAGAAGGAAGGTCGTGTCTACATTAAGGTAGAGCAAGTGGGCAACTAACTGCGCAGAATTGAAAATTTCTACGTAGCATAGATTTGGAAACCTTTCTGTAAAGTCTTTGACCTTAAAAGCTGTTGGATCGACATGTGCAGCAATGGCAGCCGTTGCTCTACTCCTTCCTATTAGATGTGCTTGTTTGCCAGAAATCTCATATAATGCCCACGCCTTTCGTCTCAAAGCCTTTTTATTGTGTTTCTCCACTCTCAAGCACCTTTCACAGTCGTCAAGAGCCTTCTCTGCTTGGTTTATTTGCAAATAACACAAAGCACGATTGCACAGTAATCGGCAGTCGTTACTGCTCCACTTCAGCGCCACGTTGTAACAATCAATGGCACCCTGATAGTCTTGCTTTTTGAAAGCCGAATTCCCATTTTCCCTCCATTCATCTGCCTTTGCTGTGTTTTCCTGCGTTTCTTGTTCTGCACTTGACAGCACTTTCATCTGCTCTTTGTGGCTCATACAGCGAGATATCAACTTGAATTCCATAGGTTTCAGAGGAATTTCAAAATATTGCAGATGCGACATTTTTTCTTCGGACATTTGAAGTGAAGTGAGGATTTTTAACTTCTCCTTTTGCAGTTCCATTGCCTTTACCTTCTGACGACAAACATACAAATACAAAGATGCTTCATTTAGGAGAAACGCTGTTTCCTCAGTGCAAATCAGTTCTTGACAAGTATCATTTTGACTAGCATCAATCAAATGCCCCTGGAATGTACTTGCGTGTGAACCAAGCGTCCCCCACAAGTGCAACGATGGAGGATTTGTCTGATGAAATACGGAATCTCCTTGGAAACTTTGACAAACCTTCACAGGTGAATCTGAATTGACAAAGGCATGATGAAGCATTCTCGAACCAGACTGAAGAACATTTTTTGTTTTGTCATCACCAGAAATATTGTTTCGGATAACTTCTTGAACGAGTCGATGGACACTCAATGACTTGTCAGTAAACCTCTGGAAAAGCGAAAATTTGGTCAAGATGCTGATGATGTCTATCGCACCGGTCGGGAACGCGAGACAGTCCTGCAGGTCGGAATTTTCCACTTGTGGAAGACCTTCATTAATGAGCTCCATTGGTATGTCATCGGGAGATAAGAAGGCCGATACTTCCATGATTAGACAGGCCGCTTTTCCAATACCATAATCTTCGGAAAGACGGCGAACATATTCGAAGTTCAACTGCCAAGTAGTACCCACAGCAATTCTTTCCGTTGAAGTGTCCTGGGCAGGAAAGAGAGCTTTGGACCTCTTCAGCGTCTTAAGCTTTTGCTTCTTATACTGCTCCAAGTAACGTGAAAACTGAACGGTTGTGTATTTGATGTACGCTGCAGCTTGATCAAGAGCCAATGGGAGGTAGCCAAGCTCCGAAGATAACTCTTTCAATATTTCAACATCGTTACCAGCTACATGTCGATCCGTTCTTTTTTTCATGAATTGAATGCTTTCCTGCTCTGAAAAGGTTCCTAATTCGATGCAGTTCTCGGGAGAAACTGTTGGGACATCCTCTTGTATTTGTCTGTCATCTCGTCTTGTGGTGATTATCATGTGTCCAGATGTGTCATTTTTCCAATGCCCATTCAATACTTTCATCATTTCACCGGAACTCGTAAGATCGTACTCGTCAAGGTTATCAATTATAACACACCACAATTCTGACCTGGTCTTGAGCCAGTGCAAAGTGGCCGACAGCATTTCGCCAAAATCTTTGTCAAACGTTCCTACGTCTCTAGCTATTTCACAAATGGAATTTTTAAAATTCGGTACACTTTCACCAGATAGCCAGAAAACACCTCCCTTGTAGATATCTTTGTATCTCCAAACATGTTCGATAGCTAGTGAAGTTTTTCCAGTTCCCCCAAGACCACATATAGCTGATATGATACAATGGGCTGTTTTGCCTTCAATTGCCATTGCAAGTCTTTCCAACTCTTGGACACGACCGTAAAAGGAAGGAATGCGGTTAGGTGCTTTGAAAGTACTTTTCAGAAACGTAGAATTCTTGTTTTCTATGGCTGTTTCTAAAGCTGAAACTCTTCCTTCAAGTTGGTCATGTTTCTCCAGTGAGATCATTGCACTAGAGACATCATCTTTAAGTTTACGATGGTCTATTTGTAATGCGCCTAGGTCTTCAGCCATGTCAGCTACTTCTTGTTCAAGATTTTCGTGAGATGTCTGCAAATTTTGCAATTTTGTGGTTACGCTTCTCTTGAATTCTTCAATATAATCCTTCACCGACGTTAAGGCTTCATGGACTTTTTTGAATTCTTCTTCCTGTTTTGTTTCAAGAGCCTGCACTTCATTTGATAATTGGGAAACTTCACGTTCAATTAGCTTTACCAAGTCAGAATCAACAATATGGCCAAGACAAAGCTGCATTCCTTAAAGAAAAAATATGCCGGTTATAACACAGGCTAGCAATTAATAAGATGATGCAGTTTGGTCTACACACTATTGTTATTATCAAGTAATTGATGCATGTATACAGCTCGAAGTAAACAACAAAGATATGGGAAGATAGATATGGAACAAACAAAAACAATAACGATAAAATGATAAATAAATTAGTAAGGATCACGAATTATTAGAGTAATACCTTTAGTTTCCCAATCCTTAAGATTATCAGTGACCTTTTTTTCTTCAGTAGGAGTCAAGTTCAAAGCTCGAAGGAACATTTCCATCAAATGAAAACTTTTAGCAAACTTTATTTCAGTCCATTTGGTAAAGTCACAATGACCCCATTCATTCCTAACGTCTTGCCGAACATCTTTTGCCAGTTTTTGAATGGCTGAAGAGAAGACGGTAGCACTGGAGAGAATTCCAAGAACCGCCGATAAATCGCAAGTATCATCAAATCCTGCAAATGCATAAAATATAATGGATACTTGTAGAACACAAAAGTCGACTTCAGTTCAGATTGATCTTAACAGCGATTGGAGTAAACAGAAACAATTTCTGCCGATTCATGCTAAACTACCAAGAATGTAACCGTCATTGGATTTGCCAGGGAAAGAAGGAAGGGGGAGGCTGTTCATCATAGAGGCACTGGACACTTTATACTACAACTTATGCCACTATGAGCTTAATAATTTTTTTTGTTTGAAATACAAACTTAATATTCCGTATGTGTTGGCTGCAGAGATCAAATTTCTGCATCTACTTCAATTTCCTATAACTATTAGATACACATATTCTACAAATATTAATTGCCAGACTAAACTGATTGATCAATCATTGTCATGCTGCAAGGTAGTAACTCACATAGAAGACTAGTTCTCATACTCATTAATTATTCATGAGGTATCCAGCCAATCCCTGATTGTAATTTGTACCACGTGAAGTAACTTGAAACCAAAGGAAGTACTCGTACCTTGGCTAACGCCTCGGACTGGAACTAATTGCACGGACTTGAAATCCCGTCCAGTCCTCATTGTCGGACTTTAAACATTACTTAATAAATAACTGTAGCTAAAGATCAATATTCTGTTCTAAGTTATTTTCCTCTACAACTGATTGCAAGAATGACAAAAATTAATAAAGTGAACTACTTTTAAATTTACTTTTAATTTCTTAAAAGAAATTTCCCATTTACACATCCGTTCTTAACTTTTTGTCGGCATGCAGATAACTGTTCAATGGAGTGCATTGTGTTGTATCATCAACCAACAATAAGCATAAGTATAGTTTACAACATGAGCGGCCGTGTTGTATGGGAATTACAATCTCGAGCCGCAGGCAAGAGATTGTAATTCCCATACAACACGGACGCGAATGTTGTAAACGACTTATAAAACTCCAACACTAATTAACATGAGTTACGTACAGTGAAATGACGAAAAATGACAATTAAGGTAACTGCTGAGTTTAGTTGCTATTAAGCATGAGCGCATGGGCGCAGTTTTTATAGATCTGAAAAAGGCATTTGATACTGTAGACCATTCAATTCTGCTTCAAAAGCTCTCTACATACGGAATAAGAGGAATAATAGCCGACTTTAGATATTTTGGTTCAGTGACCATGCACAAAAGAATTGCAGACGAGGCTCCAGGGAAATAAAGAATAAAACGATATTATACGCTCTTTGATTGGTCATTGCAATTATCAATGGATAATCTTGATTTATTCTTTATTTCCCCGGAGCCTCGTCTGCAATTCTTTTGTGCATGGTCACTGAACCAAAATATCTAAAGTCGGCTATTAATGACTGGTTTAAATCATATCTCCTAMATAGAACTCAAACTACTGAAGTCAATTGTTGCATTAGTACCAAAGAAATTAACCCATACGGAGTTCCCCAAGGTTCCGTTCTAGGACCCCTACTTTTTCTGTTATACATCAATGACATTGCTAAATCATCTAACAAAMTAAAGTTCTTCCTTTTTGCTGATGACACCAATTTGCTTTATGCCCATAAAAATCTAAAATCACTTGAAAAAATCGTCAATACTGAGCTATCTAATCTATGTGACTGGTTAACAGCTAATAAATTAACTCTGAATATCAAAAAATCTAACTTTATTATATTCCGTCCCTTCCAGAAAARGGTTGATTCCCCCATCAGCATTAAACTAATGTGTAATGAAACCGGACAACTCTTAGATTTGGACAAAGTGTTAAATACCTGGGCCTATTAATTGATACTCGTCTATGCTGGAAGAATCATATTGACTACATTAGCTCAAAAGTTAGCAAAACAATCGGGCTTTTTGCCAAGCTTCGCCATTCAATTCCTCAACATACCTTATTAACACTTTACTGGTCTTTAATCCATCCTTATTTGAACTATGGTATTGTCGCTTGGGGACAAGCCCCTCAATCATATTTAAACAAGCTTCTTCGCTTGCAAAAACGAGTGATCAGATTTATCTTTTTTAGAAACCAACGAGATAGTGCGATCCCTCTCTTTATTAAATCTAATGTCCCCCCTTTGAACTTAATGTACTGCCAAGCAGTATCCTGCCTGATTCATGATGTGTCTACTGGAATGTGCCCAAGTAAAATAATCGATATGTTCTCCACTGTGAGAGAGACTCACCCTTACCAAACACGCTCTTCAACTGCCAACAATTTTTTCACTAAGTCCTCCAGGTTAAACTCACAACTTAACTCTTTCTCTAGAGCCGGTGTAAGACTTTGGAACGCAATTCCCAGTTCTATCAGGGAATATCCAAAGCCTCTGTTCAAAAAAACTATACTTTCAAATTTATTTTACATGTTGCGGAATGAGGATCAGAGCTATTTTGGAATTGACAGGGCTACTCAGCTTTTCCTGACTGTACTAAATAACTAATCACATAGCTGCTTATTCTTCTTGTCAGTATGTTTTTGTCTTTTCTCAATCGTTCTTTTTTCCTTTTCTCTTTTTTTTTCTTTTTTCAGAGCTTTTTCTCACATAAACCTGATTAAAATTTTCTTTTTTTCTTCATTGTCTTGTTATAAACTTTTACATTTTGTAATCTAAATTAGTATTYATAGCRGKYATCRCCMTGAATAGTCTTAACTAATTGCGATGCCCGCTAACTACTCATGTGTAAATTATTATTATTTATTGAATTAAACTTGAAACTTAAACTTGAGCACGGAACATTTTGAATATCCATCCCACATGGAAAAACAAGCCATCTGTTTGATAAGAGAGTTCCGTTATCTGTCTTTGATTGCTTCTAAACCTAGTGAAGGTCTATGATGCGATACTAAAACTGAGACCTTTGCTAGTGTTGGGTTGTCTCAAGGTGACGACCGTGTTGTAAATCTTTTACAACACTAGTGTTGTATCATAGTGTTGTATCAGATTTACAAGGTCAATCACCTGCCCTTATTGGAGTAATAGCTCATGCATTTTTAATAAGTTTTATTATTTGCATATCATAGTCAGCCATTGTGATCAAGCTGAATGTACTACTTACCAGAAAACATTGCCATGAAAGGCTTTAAATACAACTTGGCCAAGTCAACATCACTATTCACAAAGTAATCATACATTTTGAACTTTTTCTTGTGCTTTCGTTCGTTGTTATTAATACTTTCATAATTCAACTTCAGCGTTCCATCTTTTTCTAAATATGTGGCAAAGGTCTGTTTGTCAATATTGTGGTGGGTCTTTAGGTTTGTGTAATGTTTGAGAATTTCAGGTTTAAGAAAACTTCTCAAATTCGGCAGTAAGATTTTATGCAGACAGATACCAACCACAAGCCATCTCTTTTGGTTATCAGGCAAATGAAAAGTACTTGAAGCTCCTAAACCAATTTTAAAAATATGAAATCAATAATAATCATTCATTGATCATAATTATAACGATCATTTACGCACCGATAAAAAAGTAGGTTTTAAATCATTATCGATTTACTTGAGTTAAGAATTACGTTTCAATGAATGAGTAAAAAATTAAAATATAATTTACTGCATGCAATGTTGTGAATTTTAGGTGCCAGGGAACAATGTCGTAAGTACAAGAATCCCAGTTCAATAAATATATGCACACTTCATTTTAGGTGGAAAACATCTTTTTATCACAACTATATTTTTTGAAACACTATCACGGCTGACACTAATGGCTATTTAAGGAGCATTAATTATTTATAAAGGGGTGAGGTCTAGCAGGAATGGGCGGATTGGTGCATGCGATCAATTTTACCTGGCGATCCACTTGGGGATGGAATAGTCGTGGGTGTTACAGCACTTGAGGTAGGTGGATGTAATGAAGGTAGAAATATCTTGTGCATCATCCTATAGCAACTTCTATCTTCCAAAAGGTTTTCTGAAGCACCTTTAATAATGTAAACAAAAACACCCTTGATTTAAACAGACCGTGCAGTCAGTCATATAATGGATGTATATCATCAAAACCCTATTTTAAAACTATTAAATAATGTTTTTGTTACAGATCCACTTCAGGCCCCAAACCTGGTTGTACTAACTATGTGAAAAGTACTTAGTTTTGTTGCGAACTTTCTAAGAGAAAGAACTTTTGCCCAAAACGTTTTCTAATTCTAGTATATTAAGCAAGTCTGGCCCCAATTGCAGAGTGACATTCTCCTGAAGCTGGATAGATCCTGATAGATCATTGATTGCACCATGATTGTACATTTCAAACTAGAATATATTGTCAATGATGCTCTAACGTCGTACATTTTGAGATGTTTTAACACCCTCTTACACTAAAGAGAACGTAATTGCGGAACGTAGCGTAACAATCACGCGAGACTAAGCGTTGTGATGTAGTGACGTGACTTGACAGATGAAGTACAATATTGCTCTGGCAAAAAAGTCTTGATACCGAGCGGTTTTTACTTCCTACATAAAATACGTTTATGTGAAAGTCAAGAAAGATCTAAGATATAGGATTTCTCTTTTTAAAATCGTGGTCCAAGGTACATGTACATAAATTAAGTAGCCTTAGAGTTTTCTTTGGTGTACACAGCTATTTTCAGACAACGTTGAATACTGAAGATAGTCTATTAACGCAGCTAACGTGGAGTTGAATATAATAGCAACAACTCATTGTGAATGCAGTATGCCATGAGTATGCAGTGTACGCGTTGCTCCATGGGGGGTGTATGGATGGTCTATGAATATTTTTGAAAATGTTTGCTACTCAAAATCTGACTGATAATTTTTTAAGGTATTGATGTTAGAGAAAATTCACGTTAAAAGTGACGAGGGCTAAACTTATCATGATACTTGACACGATTATTTTAGAATCACAGACAATATTTCTATTTTGAATGTTGAAATAAGTAAAAATTATGTTAATTAAACGATGGATATTCATATCAAAAACTCTTGCAAAACGCATGAATGGTCGCGATGAAGAAACGTAATGTCAATGAAAGAATCAGCTTTATCATATAATTATCTATGAAATACCTATATTTCTCCATTTCGTAAAATTGATATTTTCACTAGTGAAAATAACACATTCGAGGTTTCTCTATATAATGCAAGTAAGAAAAAAGGTGTTTTACGGCATAATTTGCTTTCATATAAAATTATATGATAAATAGAATATTACATGTCCGCTTGGGGATATACGAATTTTATCTTCTCGTGTTGAAAATCTCTCACTCTTTCGCTACGCTCACTCGTGAGAGATCTTTTCAACACTCGAAGATAAAATCCGTATCTCCGCGCACCCATGTAATATCCTCTATTTAACTTACAGTGTACGTTACAGCATCTTTTTCTTTACAAATTTTCCTTTCAGAATCCAGTTCCTTGTCGCATCTTGCTTTTCACCATCTTTCTTGATTCTGTAGCTACGAGGAAACCAACAGATTTCCGTTTGAAGCTCAAACTTATAGGTAGCACACCACTTTAGGGGGGAGCCGAATGCAACTTTAGAATTAGATATGAACCCGAAAACAGGTATGCAGTTATGTAAGATGAGAAGTTTCTCAAGAAACACAATCTACTAATCTAATCGACAAGTGAGTTTGGGGTAGGTTCCAGCGTGGGCTCAGGCCTGGTCTGACTCCTCCATTTTGTCATCATTTCAAAGCAATTTTGTCATCATTTCAAAGCAATTGACGTCATGCTATTGTGACAGCTACAGGGAGTCTCACAGCAGCTCACAGGTGTTTCAGACTATTGAACGATAACATAGTGGATGCTCCACGTCCTTAAGGACGAGAGTAACGACAAAAAGAATTTCATTAGCTCGAGTTACATGGCTGATGTTTATTATGACGAAAGCGGTTCTTTAGAAATGGCTACGAAATTGTTCGGAGCAAAAGTTTCCGATACTTCAGGATTAAAACCTATGATAGAAAACACATACGGTTCATTCGAAGGTTTAACCGTAAAAGCACGCGAACAAGGAAACTGGAAGGCAAAGTTTGATTTGAGCTTAGCCTACAAAGTGGGTATTCCTGAGTTGAATGTTGAGAAAGATAAGGACAAACAAATGGGCTGGCTAGAGTCTTCTATTGACGAAGGTAATGTCAAACCAGCTGCAGTACACGAACTTGGAACACTTTATGACATCAAAGGAACTGTTTCTCATCAACGCAAAGCACATGAATTGTACCACAAAGCTGCAAAATGTGGTGTTGTTGAAGCTGAATTGACTTTGGCTCAGTCATACATGTATGGTGTAGAAGGAGTCGTTGACATGGATGTGGAAGAGGCTTTCAAGTGGTATAGAAAAGCAGCCGATGAAGATCAAACAGTAAACGTTGTCCCAGATGAAGATATTTCTGATTATGCACTAATGATGACAGGCACCTCACGAAAATTGTCGGTCGATATGAAGATGAAAGTTTTGGCGATTCTGTATGAACACTACATTGCAGGTGACTGCCCAGAGGGTGAGCCACAACCGCTCAAAGCAATCCATTATCTCAAGAAAGCTGCCGAGGTTGGTCATAGAGAAAGTCAGACAAAACTTGGGCAAACCTACCTTACTGGTGTCCAAGGAGTACCAAAAGACCTAAAGAAAGCAAAGAGATGGCTTGGAAAGGCTGCTAAAAATGGTTGCACTGAAGCTAAAGAGGTATGGGCAAAATTACTAGTGTTTATAACTAGACGCTCTTAGAGCGTAAAGTCGGGCTAGATATTTTGGCAAAATTGAGAAAAACAAGATATTATATGGCTGCGTGGATACTTGAACGAGTGAAAGATTTTCAGCATGATAAGATAAAATTCTTATCTCCAAGCGACCATGCAATATTCTGTCTAACATGATTATATATGGAAATCGTTTTACCACATTTTCCATTGTGGAACCCTTTTTTACTTAAAGAGTTGTCAATCGTTTTAAACAGATTCTTGAAAAGTTTGATAATCAAGGGATCATTGAAGCTGTACTACCTGCAGAAACAGAACCAGATGAGCAGCATTTGAAAAATTCTGCAAGGCAGTATCTTGACATTCTTAAAGAAGAAACTGAGCAAAGCAACCATCACCCATATTTGATTAAGAATCCACTGATATTCACTGAATCAATGTTCACTCAATTCCCAGACTCACCCACTGCACAAAGATATTTGAAAGCATTTAAATTAGCAGAAGAAGGCTTCAGCAAATTCCAAGGAGGCAATAACTTCACCGAAGCAGTAAAACTGATGGCATGCAGTTATCTCTATGAAAACACTGTCATTCAATCATTTCCATTATTTAAAATGCCAAAATTTCGGAATGAAATCCTCTCAAAGATATTTGAAGAGTTAAAGATCAACGGGGAGTTTTTTGAAGGATTAGTTCTCCTGGTCCCACTTTACACAATACCTGTAGAAGCACCAACTGTCAACTTTGAAAGTTTCAAAATTGACTTTAAAAAGACAATGTTTTTGAAGAATGTTATTCATTTGATTGAGAAGAAGTGGCCAAAACTATCTCCAAGTGAAAGCAATGGCAATTTTGAAGAGAGTTATACTTGTTGGGTGCATGCCCTTTACGATTTTTTAGGCTCACTTTATACAGTAGGGAAAAGGTATGATGAAGGTGCACAAGCATTTGAGAAAGCTATCAAATGTTGCCCTACCAACTTTGAAGCAAAAGCAGGATTTGCATTCTGTATAATGAACATTTATTTTTCTATTTGGCCAAAGAAAGATCAGAAAGTTTTTAATACTAAAGATCAAAAGCCTTATGGACCAGAAGCCTGTCAGATTGTCGATTATAGTAACAAAAGACAAGCCAAGAATAGCTACCTCACATGGGAAGCAATTGATTTAAGAAACAAAGCAGAGCAACTATTTCTTGAATACCTGAATGAAGCACCTCCCTGTGACAAGAAGTATCCAAACTGCCATTACCACTTGGCTTTCCTTTATATGGAAGAGGGCAACAAAAAGAAAGCCCTTGAGTGGAAGGAAAAAGGAGAAGATGCAGAGGAGAAACGTCTTCCTTTCATGCAACCAGTTGCAATAGATTCAAAGAAATTTCTTTTGGAATTAGATTACCTTCCTACACAAAAGAAAACTAGTGTAACAATATGTAGCAATACAGATTGCTCTAGTAAAACAGTAGAGCAACTAAAGCCATGTCCATGTCAACAAGTGTCCTATTGTGGAAGGTAATGTTTTTACCATTGGTTGGAAATGCCACCACATCTCAGTGGCAGATCCAGTGTGTGTGTGTGTGTGTGTGGGGGGGGGGGGGGGGGGGGGGGGGGGGGGGGGTTCCATGGGTTCCTAGGCACCCCCCTCGAGCATTAAAAAAAATAAAATAAATGATAAATGAAATAACATGAAAACGCATTGTACAATGAATTTTTATTACATACATTCACACTACATTTGCTACAGTTCAAGAGGCACAGTAAAAAAGTTCGTTTTAGGAAAATGCGAAAACAAAGAGGAACCCCCCTTTGAAAAATCCTGGATCTGGCACTGCATCTGCACAAAATATTCAGAAATCATGCAGTGCAGCACAGCATCACACACTGCAAAATGTACCTTTCATCATGTATTCCACAATTATCTGATACTGGCTATAAATAAATAAATAAACAACTTTATTTTAAGAGGCAGTTATGCTTTTTTTGACAGTCTTTGCTTAAATTGTCATATCCAACAATATTTCGCTTCATTTGGAGTGAATTCCACATCCTACAGTAATCAAATTTTTGTTTTGTTTTGTAGTTAAAAATTTGCATATTTTCTATTCTGTCTTGTCTTCAAGATACTAAAATTAATATCACTATTCTAGAGATTGCCAGAAACAAGATTGGAAGAGACATAAGAAGATGTGCTCAGCCAAATCAAGCAAAAAAAAGGTCAAACCAAACTGAAACCGATTGAACAGAAACTATACAATGTAATTAAGTTCTCAAGAGTACTAAAACTTTTGGTGTTGTCTCCTTCACTTTTTCCTGCACCAGATTGAAAGTAATCCTGAAGCTAGATGACTGGTGAGCTTGCAATGATAACTTTCAAGATAGAGAGAATCATTGCTAGTTTTTCAAAAACTTCTGAATTTGCAGCAATCAAATCTGGTTGTAAGCATGACTGAGGTTAGTTTTTAGTAAATTATTAGAAGACAAGGTTGCATCGCATTGTTACCAATTTGTTTTATTCAATTCRCTATATCTATGATTTACAATTATAGAGTATGACATAATAAACTAC